ATATATATATACACACACACTATTTCTCCAGTTGCATTTTCACTTGTCCAAGAAAGGCTCTCCCACATTCCATATGTTCATACACTTACTCTTGAGGCCCTTCATGGTTCTGTAAAGAACTAGGATGGCCAAAGGCACTTCTACAATCTTTACATGACAGGGCTTCTGTTCAGTGAGTTCCTTCATCCTTCACAATAAACTGGAAGAAATGAATGATTTCTAACCCTCTTACATTTCTAGGGTCCATCCCCAAGAAGGATAATCATACTAGTTCATGATGGTACACCTGAGAGATAAATGAAGGCTTTTTGCTACTCTTTACATTAACAGTATTTATCAATACATTTTATTTTCAAATGTGTGTAAAAATTAGTTGGGAACCTAAAGGCTTTACCACATTCCTTGCATTGATATGATTTCTCTCCACTATGAGCATTTTTGTGAATTTGAAAGGATCTGGGATGACTATAGGTTATCCCACATCGCTTGCATCCATAGGGTTTCTTCCCAGTATACATTTCACATATCTAAGAGAAAACGCATGGCAAAGAGATTTACTTCATTCCTTAGTCATGAGGATTCTATCATGACTACTTTTGTCATCCAAGATGTGTGAGACAATGGAAGCTTTTCCCACATTGTTTACTTGCATAAGGTTTTCCCCCAGTACGTGTTCTTCCATGCTTCCTAAGAGAATTGGAGGAACTGACAGCTTCAACATATTCCTTACATTCATAGTGCTTTTCTCCATTGTGTGTGCTTTCATTTCTAGGTGTGTACAGGAGGCAACCAATTGATGTGTTTCTCTCACATCAATATTGCTCTTTCTTTGTCTCTAATTTCCACTCTCTTAAGGGAAAAATATCCTCAGGTGAGTATAAAAAAAAGAAAAAGAATTGGGATGGTCAAAGGCTTTTGTACAATCTTTACACAATAAGGCTTATTTTCCGTGTGAATTCTTTCATTCATTATGCTTACTCTCCACTGAGTATTTAGGTGAATTTGAAGGGAACGAGGATGAATAAAGGCTTTCCCACACTGCTATCATTCATAGTGTTTTTCCTTACTATGAGTTCTTTCATGATATCACAGGAAAGTTGGATGAGAGAAAGCTTTACCACAATGATTACTTTCGTAAGGTTTTTCCCCAGTATGAATACTTTCATGAGCTCGGAGGGCACATCGATCACGGAATGTTTTACCACATTCTTTACATTCCCGAAGCTTCCTTCAATCATGACCTTTTTTATGTCTTTGAAGAGAGCTGAGATAACTGAAGGCTTTCCCACATTGCTTACATTCATAAGTTTTTTCCCCAGTATGAGTTATTTCATGACGTTGGAGATAATATTGATAAAGGAATGTTTTATCACATAGCTTACATTTATGATGCTTCTTTCCATCATGACTTATTTTATGTATTGTAAGAGAGCTGAAATAACTGAAGGCTTTCCCACATTGGTTACATTCATAAGGTTTTTCCCCAGTATGAATTCTTTCATGACTTTGCAGAGAATATCGATAAAGGAATGTTTTACCACATTCCTTACATTCATGTGGCTTCTTTCCATCATGAAGTTTTTTATGTCTTCGAAGAGAGGGGAGATAACTGAAGGCTTTGCCACATTGCTTACATTCATAGGGTTTTTCCTTATGAGTTCTTTCATAATGTCGGAGGTAAGTTGGATAAGAAAAAGTTTTACCACAATGGTTACATTCATAAGGTTTTTCCCCAGTATGAATACTTTCATGAACGCGGAGGGCACATAGATCACAGAATGTTTTACCACATTCTTTACATTCATGCGGCTTCTTTCCATCACGACGTTTTTTATGTCTTCGAAGAGAGGTGAGATAACTGAAGGCTTTGCCACATTGCTTACATTCATAGGGTTTTTCCTTAATATGAGTTATTTCATGACATTGGAGTGAAGCTGGCCTAGCGAAAGCTTTACCACAATGGTTACATTCATAAGGTTTTTCCCCAGTATGAGTTCTTTCATGACATTGCAGAATATGTCGAAAAAGGAATGTTTTACCACATTCCTTACATTCATGAGGCTTCTTTCCATCATGACTTATTTTATGTTTTACAAGAGCGTATCGATAACTGAAGGTTTTCCCACATTGCTTACATTCATACAGTTTCCGAGGAATATGCGTTCTTTCATGATTTCTAAGGAAAGCTTTCCCACTGGTACTGCCTTCATGTCTCCAAATATATCGGTGATACTTGAAAGCTTTCGTAGGTTCCTTACATTTATAAGGGCTTTCTTCATATTCCTGACAGAGGTATAGTTTGGGTACAATGTGAGAGCTCAGGTGGTTATTCAAGGATAAATAACCCATGAAGATTTGCCTACACAACCTGGATTTAGGTTGCTTTATTTCAGTAGGAGTTTCTTCCTTTTCATTAAGATTTGGAATCTGGCTGAAGTTTTCTCTGAATTGAGTACCATCTTTCCTTTTACAGAGTCTCTCTACCATATGACTGCTGTAAAAATCAGAAGCATATTATTAATACTCTCTTAATGATTTAATATTTATTGATAGTATGATAATGACATCTTTACCATTTTCAAGGAATGTGGGGCATTTCTGTACATTTCAATTTTTTTAAAAAATATATTTTATTGATTTTTTACAGAGAGGAAAGGAGAGGGATAGAGAGTTAGAAACATCAATGAGAGAGAAACATTGATCAGCTGCTTCCTGCACACCCCCTACTGGGGATGTGCCTGCCACCAAGGTACATGCCCTTGACTGGAATCGAATCTGGGACCTTTCAGTCCGCAGGCCGACGCTCTATCCACCGAGCCAAACCAGCCAGGGCCATTTCAATTTTTAAAAGTGGATATCCCAAAAACCTCTGAAGTAGGATGGATCATAAATATTATAAAAACACTTATATTCATTAATGGTATTTACATATTTTTTTAAAATGTATTTTATTGACTTTTACAGAGAGGAAGGGAGAGGGACAGAGAGTCAGAAACATCGATGAGAGCGAAACATTGGCCAGCTGCCTCCTGCACACCCCAAACTGGGGATGTGCCCACAACCAAGGCACATGCCCGCGTCCGGAATCGAACCTGGGACCTTTTAGTTTGCAGGCCGAACCTCTATCCACTGAGCAAAACCGGTTTGGGCCTGTATTTTTTTTAAATGAGATTTTGATGAAATAATTCTAAGAATCAATACATTTAAAACTGGGCTGACATAATTGGATTACCTGTTTTTAAGATTGTTTTGTGGACTGGGTCCATGTGGCTCAGTGGTTCAGCATGGACCCACCCGCCAGGGGGGTTGCCAGTTCTACTCTCCAAAAGAGAATATGGCCAGGTTGCAGACTTATTATCCCCTGTACAGGGCGTGCAGGAGGCAGCTATTCTATGTTTCAATCTCTCCCTCTCACCTCCACACTGTAAAATAATAAAAACATAATTTCGCACCACTGGCGTGGCTCAGTGATTGAACACCAACATATGAACCAAGATGTCATATTTCGATTCATGGTCTGGGAACATGCCGATGTGGTGGGCTTGATTCCGAGTGTAGGGCATGCAGGAGGCAGACGATCAATAATTCTCTCTCATCATTGATGTTTGTCTCTCTTTCTCCCTCTCTCTCCCTACTTCTCTGAAATAAATAAATACATATTAAATAAATGAATAAGTAAAATAAATATTTGTAAGATCATATTTAAAAAAAAAAAAAAGATGCTCTTACAGGACATTGCTTTCTCATGGCAATGCGACTCACCGTTCCTAGTTTAATTACCAATGTTTTCCCTTTCCACATTTCAGTTCTTGAAACAGCACTGATGAGCAAGCAACACTAGTTTTCCAATTAACTAAGTAAGTAACAAATTGTTGGCAGCCAGAGTCGCTATGTGGTTGATGGTCAACCTATGAACCAGGAAGTCAGGGATCAACTTCCCAGTAGACCTGGTTTGATGGCTAGATCCCCAATGTGAGGCATACAGGAGGTAGCAAATCAATTATTCTCTCTTATCATTGATTTTTCTATCTCCCTTTCCCTTCCTCTCTGAAATCAATAAAAATGTATTACAAGAAAAAATAGAATTTGTGATAACTACCTACTGATGCCAGGTTCCAGAAGGTTTCCAGCATCACATCTGTGTAGATTTTCTTCTGGGTTGGATCCAGGAAAGCCCACTCCTCCTTGGTGAACTTCACATTAACATCCTCAAAGGCCACTGAGTCCTAAAACATCCCACATAGGCACGGGTGAGATAGACAGCATGAGTTATCTATACATACTTCGTAAGTAGTTCACAGGAGACACGTGGTCCCCAACGTTGAGTCTATAACTTGATCGTAACACTAGCAAGACTATTTGCCACACTCACTTCCTCATGAACACATGGAATTTATTTATTTTTTATTTTTTAAAATATACTTTATTGATTTTTCACAGAGAGGAAGGGAGAGAGATAGAGAGTTAGAAACATCGATGAGAGAGATACATCGATCAGCTGCCTCCTGCACATCTCCTACTGGGGATGTGCCCACAACCCAGATACATGCCCTTGATCGGAATCGAACCTGGGACCTTTCAGTCCGCAGGCCGATGCTCTATCCACTGAGCCAAACCGGTTTTGGCACATGGAATTTATTGATATTATTTTATTGTGATCACTTCAAGTCTTCACTGCTCTCTAATATCAGAATAAAGAGCACCCTGAACAACTTCAATTTAATAAATTAAAATACTTCTATTTTAAGCTTATTGATTCCTTGTGAGAAAATTCAACTCCTTTATAACCACCATTTGATGCAGCACTACATGACACACACAGTCATAGGTGCATAAAGTTTGAATGACCATGAATGGAATAAAGGCTTGATAGCTTTCTTTTCTATTCTCAACACCAAACAGGAGAGACCAGGGGGTGTGAGCAAATTCAACTTGGAACAAAATGTAATTGGCCATATTGTCCTGAAGTACTCCAGATTATTAGAAGGAGTCAGATACACCTGAATGAATGAAAGCATTCTTATGGAGTAATATGGATGATCATTTG